CACATACACACACATGCACACAAATCACATTCAGCTCAACTTTCCTCCATACCATACACCCTGCCCTACCCCCCCAACCTCTGTATACAATAACCCCCCCCCCTTACCACACGCCTTTCTCGCTGCCTCTCTCTGCCACGTTTTGCCATCCCTTACAGTGCATTAAACCGCAGAGAACATCAGTCATGGATGTCTGTGCTCTCCAGATGGACCTTGGAAATCTTGACTCCCTTAGGCCACATCAAAGCCAGTAGGGAGTTCCCAGCAGGAGGCTGCGAGTCACTACTGTAACTTCAGAAGTTTAGGTGGTTTGATTCAAGGACAGCGTGGGTAAATACTTTGTCTGGGGGGTCTCCGTCTCTCTCCAATTGCTTCACGTATGGCATTTGTATTCCCACAGTGAAGGAGATGGTTTAGCAAAGTAGCTCGTGCGCCTTAGTCTTTTTTGTTTCTTTGCCAGGAGAATGAACACTTGTGCTTTTCAGTCTCCATCATCTGAGGCTACGTAGACACAGTCGAGCTTTAAAACAACTGTTTGGAGTCAGCACAGCGGATCAGGAAAACACAGCGTTTTTCTTTGGATACTGGGGCTGGTTGCTGACCACACCTGGGCAGAAGATGTACTGGGAACTGTGGCTGAGCCAGGTCACGGCCAGTGCCGCGCTGCAGTGCATGCTGGTCCAGAACAAAGGTGGGCAAGCCTTGTGTGTAGATGTGAAAGCGTAGTGGACGGACAATGTGAAGCTAAAATGTTTGGCAAAATACGGGGGTTTTAAGAGTGCGGATTTGAACATAAGTTGCTGTTCAAATCTCTCTGCTCTCATCCACATGCATGGCATGTGTCTGCCACATGGTGTATACTAACAATGGGAATGCTTAATTATTTGATGAATTTCTGCCAACATTGCAAGATTAGAGCAGTGACACACAGTTTTCACTCAATAGTTTGAATTTGGATGGAACATTTAAAGTATTTAACGTAGTGTCTCCCAGTGTCTCAGAATCTTTGTAAGAAAAGCCTGCACCATTCTCACTCACTCACTTATGATAAAAAAAGTTGTCTGGCATCTAACATTAATCCAACAATTCTCAAATTAAAAAGCAAATCTGAAAGAAAAACTTCTGTGCTGCATGAGTTCAATTTTCACAGTCAGCTGCTGAGTTTGTGTCAGTCACAGTTGTGGTTTATACTAGTTTCCTTTTAGCTCAGTAGCATTGTTCTTGAATTTGTTAGTTTGGTTGGCTGTTTTATTACTAGGCCGCCTCTGACCTTGTTGGCAATAGCGAAACCAGTGTTATTACAGAGTATTACATTCAATGTTTCCCTGCCAACTGTAATTGCAACCACAGAAGCAGTCCGTGATGATTCAAGGTGAGAAGACAATATGACAAAATTGTTATTGAAAGCACAAGTAATATTGCGCTTTTCGCAGTGAACAGAATACAGTACTGAAGCTGCAGGAGGAAGAACATTTTATGAATCAACAGTTTCCTTGTTAAACTTCTGCCTGAATGTGTAGGTGTTAACTGCTAACCATTTTATTTTGGGCTACAAGTACACAAGTCATATAGACACTGTTTTTAAATAATACAGCCAGAACACCTCCGTTTCTGGTCTGGCCTTCATTTTGGGGTTTGTATTGCCTTCCCTGTTGTTTCTCAATATAGTTCTTACATGGACAAAATATAAACACAGCTCGGTATAATGCAGCTCTATACAATTATACCATAGTCTATGGCTCCAAAAACAACCATACAGTTAAATGAACATTGCAAAGCTGTTGTTTTGGATTACATTAAATTGTGTGTACATTTGAAGCAAGTGAAAATACATTTAAACTTCAATCCTGTCATTTCTTTCAGTGAGTTGTAAGATTAACGCTGGTGCTTCCTATAGGCAGAGTAAATAGGTTAGGTCTTCTTGCATACAACATTGTTTATGTAGTTAATCTATAAACAAACATAGGATCACTCGGCTAAGGTTTATGTTAATGTAATTTCTTTCATCCTATTTTGAAGCAAGTAAAATGCTAGATAATAGCTTTTCTGTTTTAAACTGTCTTACAGTACTTATTCTCCATTCTCTGTCCGTCTGTCCGCCACCCTCCTCTCCCACACGCTCAGCAGCTGTCCAGACATGCAGTGACTTTGGCAGCAGCTGTTGAGTGTAGTACGTGTTAGCTACGCATGTGCTAGTTTATCAGCGAGTGTCAGTGGGTGTATGCAATGTAGCTATGGTAATCACTGCATCCTGTGTAGGGAGAGAACCTCTCCCAGTGTTGTAGCTCCTCCCTGTTGCTCTCTCTCTATATACACACATACAAAAACACTCCTACCTCAGATCATACCTGGTTTGGGCTAGACACGGCGTGTGTAGCCAGTGATAACAGTGTTATTCAGATAGTGGATTGAATAAAGTAATGCTTTTGAGGTGCCTGCAGCCAAGCAGCAGTTTTGAGGAAGAGTGGGCGGCTCTGGGTAGCCGTCATCTACATACAGGACTAAAGCAGAGGAAACCACCTGGACAGACAGGTAGACCATCTGCGAAATCGACTCTTAGGATTAGGGAGAATTCAATCTGGTTAGAGGACATCAGTCTTACTGCTTGTCTACCCAAGTGCCTTTTCGCCTCGACCGTATTGGACTAAGACATCTTTTTATGATCAGTTTGTGCTGTGGGTCATTTTTAAGCATGAAATAATTTATTGTTGTGGGTTTCAATGTATTCTACTGTAGACAGCACATTTCATTCACTGTTGTTCACCTTTGCAAGTGTGATGTTGCATTCTCAGTCACATTTTGTTTTCTAGTCTAATAGTGTATCGTCTTTTACCCCTGACCCTTGCCCCTCCTCTTTCTCCAGAAGCTCTCCACCGGCCGTTCGGCCTGGACTCGGCGGCGCTGACGGAGGCGGTGCGCTGGAGCTCCAAGGAGAACCTGCTGGGGGCGGCCGAGAGCGACCCTAACCTCTTCGTTGCACTTTATGACTTTGTTGCCAGCGGAGACAACACGCTCAGCATCACTAAAGGTAAACAATGGCATGAAACTGTGATTTTTATTTTCTCTGGCTCACTCAAAATGAATTGCTAGAACCAGTTATGGTTTGAAACTTGAAAGTCTTGTCCTCCAGGAAAGTCTTTCCATGCATCATCACTGAAGGTTAGTTACATGAGGTTACTCGACCACGCCTTCCTAGGATACAGTGTTGCTATGTGTTGCAACAGAACAGAGTGATTTTCTTACATAGCAAAGACTCATCAGAAATATCCTCAAGGCAATGCCAGTGATTGGCGGGTCAGAAACTCCTAGGAAGAATGTTTTATGAGGTAAAGTGTAGATATTTCAGAGGAATGTGGTATGTCAATAGAGTTTGAACAACCTAGTCATTGTAATCTCACCCTGTTGTGACATCAACGGGAATCTGACCCAGCCTATAGCTTTCTTTGTCACCCGCCCACACACCCTACATCCTCTCTTTTACACTATACTTTAATCCTTCTACACCACCTGTGAGCTGAATATTTTTATACTTACAACTAAAATACCATTGATGTTAATACTATGTCTTAATCGTTTCACTATTTACTTATTTCTTACTCATTTCTCCATTACACACACAGTCCAGATTTCCTCTCCCTCAACCAGCAGCAGTTAACCAGTCAACCAGCTCTCCCCTGAGTAATAAGCTAAAAATATCCTCATAATATTATCCAGAGACGGCCAGGCTTGTGTCCCAGACCAATCTAAAGCATTAAACGTGGCAGAGTGTGTTAATTATCCAATGTTTTAGGACTTCCACGGCAGCTGCCTGGGATGGAAATGATGTTTAGACCCTGACTCATGGAGTGAATCTGAGATTCTTGCCCACATGCATGCAAGCACATGTACACTCCCAGGCTCCACTGCACTTTTCCTATCTGTCCCACTCTTTGCTCTGTCACATGGAAACACCCCAGCATGCCTCTAATGCTGCGGTAACATGGAATACGTTCAACTGTAATAATAACAGGTGGATGAGCGCTGCAGGCCAGAGGCTGATCACAGAGAGGGACTTAGCAGGCTCGTCTCTGGAGCTAAGCTTTGTCTCTTCTCCGTGCCAGGCCGAACCAGGCCAGGCCACACCATAGCCCTGCTTCAGGCACACATTGCTGTTAGCGCGAGGCATTGAAACAGTCAGTGTTTCCACTCCCACAAAACTTACAGACACAAAAGGGAGACAAAAAGGAGACTAATGGATTGGTGGGCTGGATGTGGATAACCATCTCTGTTTAATGTTCTGCGGATTGCAAGCACTGGTTAGTGGTGATAGGTTGTCCAAGTGACTAGGCTTACTGTAATTAAATGTCTATTTCTCACAGTTTAAGGCTTTATGTGATGGAGTCGTGATAGTCACATTCAGATAGATTCTAGCTTCCTGTGTGAAAATAGGGCTGCACGATACGGTAAAATCATATTGTGATTATTTTGACAAAT